TTTTTGCTGTATCTTAAAATGAGCTTTATGCAATAAAATATATATTTAATATATATTGGGTACCTCCAATATATATGAAATGCCAGAAAGTATTACTTGCAGAATGTTAATAGATATGGCACAATCTTTATTTACTAACATTTGAATGCTACCTATTCTTAAAATATGTCTACTTGTTAACATTTTTGGGGCTCAAATTCAACAGGAGGTTTAATTGCTTTATTTGTATTGCAGTTTTCTCCCAGGAACTAAGGGGATATAAAACACTATTTCCAATATTTCTTTGTAACAACTCCTCACTGATATAGATTAGGCCAGTGGTTCCCAAACTTGACAACTTTAAGACTTGTGGACTTCAACTCCCAGAGTTCTCCAGCCAGAAAAGCTAGCTGGAGAATTCTGGGAGTTGAAGTCCACAAGTCTTAAAGTTGCCAAGTTTGGGAACCACTGGATTAGGCTAAGAGTAATTGGTCAAGTTGCCCAGTAAGTTTCCAGTGCTGAAGTAGACTTGAACCTGGATCTCACCAATGTTAGCCTAACTTTTTAGCTACTACCCATATTTTAGATCAGTGCTTCTCCACCTTGGCAAATTTATCATTGTGTGGACTTCACCTTCTTGAATTGCCCAGCCAGCAGGCTGCCTTGGGAATTCTAGTGTTTGAAGTCTACACATCTTGAAATTATAAAGGCTGACTACAACTATTTTACACAGAGTGATTTGTGGAACACACATGTTCTGCTTAGCCATTTGGGATCTCTCAAATTATCAAGAATTGTAAACTTTTCACAAAATACTAGCCAAAATAGTTACTGTGCAATATAAAATACAGGTAGTCCTTGACTTACAACAGTACATTTAGTGACCAAAGTTACAACAGCACTAAAAAAAGTAACTTATAACCATTTTTCACATTTATGACTGTTGCAGCATCCCCATGGTCATGTGATCAAAATTTGGATGCTTGGAAACTAGTTCATATTTATGACAGTTGTAGCATCCCAGGGTTATGTCTACAACCCTTTACAACCTTCTGAAGAGCAACTTAACACTTAACTTCTTAACAACTTCACTTAACCATGTGACTAAATTAACAAATGCAATGATTCACTTAACTATTGTGGCAAGAAAAGTTGTAAAACGGGGCAAACTCACTTAACAAATGTTTCACTTAGCAACATAAATTTTGGGCTCAATTGTGGCGCATCCAGATTGTTGGGGGCAGTATTTTGACTCTGAAAACAGCTTAGAGAGGATTGTAAAGTACTGTGAAGAGGTATGTAAGTCTAAATGCTACTGCTATCTGTAGCAAGGACTTTATCAAATATGAATTTGGAGGTATTTCTGTGCAAATAGATTGGGAAGAAAACTTTAGAGCAATTTATTCAAATCTTTGCAATATTTTTTAATATAGTTTTCATGGCTTCTTCAAAAATGGAAATAAGGAAAATGGAAAAACAAAGACCATTTGATATTCTTTACCACTTTGATCATATATCCTTTGATCTTTTGAATCTCAAGTATACTTGGAATACTGTATTATGTAGTCAGTTCAAGACATCACACTTTAAAAGGAATAAGGAAACGCTGAAACAGATTCAGTGTAGAGCTTCCAAGAGCTCTGAAAGACTTAACAAGAATCTATTAAAACAACTGGGACCATATCATAATGAATATAATGCCTAAAAGACTATCACATTCAAAGGCTATTCTCAGTTGAAATTAAGGACAAAAAGATAACAGGGTGAAATTAAAAGTGAGGCTCAGACTGAATATTAGGAGGAATTTCCTGATAATAACACAGGTAAATCTGCCAGAACCATTATCTTTCCCATCTAGGAAATTTCAGATAGGGGTTAGATGGCTACCTCTCAGGAATCTGGGGCAGATGATTGGATTAAATGGTCTATAAAATTATTTCCAATCCTATAATTATAATTCTAGACAAAAGAAAGAGTTGCTACTCTGATTTAAGTAGATCAATGTACAACTGTTGCAAAAATGTTATCTATATAAATGTTTTATTTAATCCCTGCAGTTTTATTTTATGTAAATTCTGATTCTTATCTCAATGTATGCTAAACTCCTTAATCCCAGATAACTTTTGCAAGAGTTTTTTGCAACAGTTACAATAAATGATTTCAAGTTATATGACTCATTAAAAAAGTCTTGCAATGGTTTTCTCAGGCCCAGTTGGTTCACAGAAATTGAAAAGGAAATAACTCAGTCCTGGCTGGAAATCAGAACTTACTTGTATCTCAAAGATAAAGAATTTTAAGACCCAGACATCCTTTACAATCAACAAATAAAATATATTTATGGATTACAATTTTATCCAGAGACGAATAGGTTGTTCTCTATGTCTCCTTTTCTAATTCAAGCAACCACTGAAAATCTGGATTTAATTAATCTAACCTTAATGCTTCATACTAAAGATCACTGCACCTTCCTTGAGGTGAGCTCACCATTATGTCCATGTGGTTTCCTTGGTCTGCCTTTTTTCTTTTCCTAACATTTTTTTTCCAGACTTCCCAATCTAGTATTTAGACTCAGGAATCTCATGAAGATTACCATCCTAATAGATATTTCACTCAACCCTTAGTTTCTAATCCAGGTGTTTAACCAACTCTACTTAGTTTCTAATCCAAGTGATTAGCCAGACGCTGATACCAATTGAAGCTTCTTAAAATCTAGAAATGAGTAAACTAACAAAAAATGTATTTAAGGATGTAAAAAAAGAGGGAAAAAAACAGATTGTTAATAACCTAACCAATATTCACTGTTCATTGTAAGAAACAAAGACAATACACCTACTTTAAACAAATTATTCCACAAATAAATTCTAAATAGGACATTAGTA